TTTGTCAACAATGTTAGGCACCAATTTGTCAATAATGTTAGGCATAAATTTGGTGCCACCTACCTTGCCCTTGTCTTTTGCATGGATGTTTGCCTTTAAATAGGAAATGCATCCAAGCATTATAGACACACCACAAGAGAGAAAGAAGAGAGGGTGAGGAGAGAATAATCCCACAAAATTGTGAGGTATTTGTGAGATAGTAAGTGAGGTGTTTTCTCCTAATAATAGAGAGATTTTTGTTGTTCTCCTATTATTAGAGAGAAGTTGTATTCCCACATTACTTAGTAAAATTCTTCTATACTTGCCCGTGGACGTAGCCAAATTGGGTGAACCACATAAATTCTTGTGTGTCATTTCTCATTTTATCTTGTCCCTTACCTTTTGTCTTATCGGGTTTGCATGCCGGTATCCTAACACTTATGTTTGAGTCTATTATAATTTCTAAACTTAGGTACCTGAGTTTGGATAATTATAAAGTCCAAACATGAATATAATATTATTTTCAAATTCAGATATTCTAGCACAAGTATAATATATTTTTTAGATCTAATTAATATGAATCTAGTATAGTTATTAAATTTAAAGTGTTTAGACTTGATGGTTATTCAAGTTCATAGTAACTTGAGTCTGACATTTTTAATTATTATTGTAAAAACTATTTATATTGTTTACTAGTTCATTCATACAATTTTTTAATTGATTTAATTTTTTAATCATTTAATTTTCACCTTAAATAGGAAATTTTTCTTTTTCCTTTTCTTTTTAAATAGAATAGTTATTAAATTACAAGTTTTGAAAAATAACTAGTTATATGACTCACACGATATCATGAGTTAATTTTTTTTTTTTATATATAAAAAAACTAAGATCTAGAAGTATTAGATCTTTAAGTGAGGTTATATCAAAGAGTCTTGAATTTTACTACAATACCTAATTCAAAAGTAATATTTATAATATTAATAATAATATTAAACTTACATGATTTAAGTTTAAGCGAGTTTGACTGTAACACCAGACCCAATAACTTTGGATATGGGTATGGCTAAAAAATCTGAATTAACTGAGTTAATTTTTCAAATCAGGTTAACTAGTCAAACCTGAAATTCACGTCATAAAATTTTGATAACTAAATAGAAAAAAAAATTGACGGGTTAACTAGGTTAAACCATTAAACCAAATTAACCCATCAAGCCCAGGATACGTATTATGAAAGTTTGATGATTAAATAGAAAAAAATTTAACATTAACAAACCAAACTAAATAAAAAAAATTAATTAAAAAGAAAAAAAGCAAAAATAAATTCCGGATTAACCTATCATACTAAGTTAACCCGTCAAATTCGAGATTCATATCATGAAAATCTGATAACTAAATAAAAAAAATTAAAATTAACAAACTAAATTTAAAAACTATTAAACAAAAAAAACACAAAAAAAACCTATAAAGGCATAAAAAAACGAAAAAGAAAAAAACTATAGCTTAGAGTATTTTAGTATATGTTATTATTATTATTATATTATTATAAGTATAATTAAGTAATATATAAATTATATAATTATAATTATAATTATAATTATAATATGTAAATACAAGTGTGGGAAAACTACAATATTTTCCCACATCTTTTAAAGTATTACTTAATAACAAGGTTAAGTATTCAATTGGGTGCTTTAATAGAAAGGTATCTTGTAAATGTATTACCTCCAATTATAATGTACCTAGTTCACGTAAAAGAGAGTTTTTTTTCTTTGATTTAGATATTTCAAAATATATGTTATTTTTAATAATAAAAAAGTTAAAGCATTGGATATTGAATTTTACTATTTTACCCCTCTTTTAAGATTTGAATTCAAGACTTTCCTTTTCTTTTTATACAAGCTCAATAAATGGGTTTCACAGTTACACATTTTTTATTATATTTATTTTAATATTGACTTAAATGTTATATATTCCATAAAAAGAATAATAAGTTGATAAGACTTTTAACTTTTAATAATAAGTTAACAAAATAAAAACAGGCAAACACCATTCCTTCATGAATGCTTTTCCATTACAATCAGAGGGGCAAACGGCGATTTGTTTTATATAAATAAAATAAAATTAAGGGAAAATCCAAGGAGAGAACCTAGAATAAAAGGGAATAATCCATAGAAAAGAAAGTGTGTGTAAGGGCAAATCCGTAGAAACTTAAGAACACATGGACAATTGTGTGATTAACGGGATTGGAAAATGCAAAAACTAAAGTATTACAATAATTTAAAAAAATATAAAAAATAATTTTTTTTTAAAAGTTAACTTTTTATAAAACACTGTATGTAACGCAGTTAAAATGGACGGGTAAAGTAGACGCATCGTGAGAGAATCCGAAGCCGCCCAGCTGAAAAGTAAGTGAAGGAAGGCCACGTTGGCAAGGGAAGAAGGCAACGTTTGCGGTGTTTTGCAATTGCCGTTGGTAACAGTGAGAGAAGCAATTTCCAGAGAGATGCAAAAAGAACCCCATCCATGCTCCTACTGTAAACTTTGTACTGAGTAGTGACAGAAAATGGGAGGTGAAAGGAAGAAGATACTGGTGGGTCTAATGGTGGCAATGATTTTGGGATTTGCAGTCTATTTCAGGCTTTGGACAATTGACTATGCTATCTCCTCTGATGACACCGAAGTGATAAGGTTTCTTTCTTTCTTTTGATCTAATCACCAAAATACATGCTTTTATTGTTGGTAGGTATGATTTTGGTGAGAAAATTAGTGGGTTTTCTTCCATTTTGTAAAATGTACAATGTTTTTGAGAATTCAACGATGTTATATTACACAAGCCTGGAGCTAAAAAATGCCCTCAACTTTTACCTTTTATTTATTTATTTCTTGATTCGCAAAGAGCTTTTCAGTTGGCTTTACAAATTTCACTCCTATTAACGTGATTATGCTTGAATTAGAGAGCCACTTAAGTGGATTGATTGTATGATTATGCATGTAGAGTTACACTAGCCTTTGGCTGTTACTACTAATTATGATTCTGTTAGTCCACATTCCATCGCAGACCCTAATTTAATATGTACAACTGGAGTTAAATAATGAACCAATTTGCATTAGAACTGAATTCTGTCCTTAAAATGAAAAGGGCTTTGGGTTGGTTCACCAGCTTATATGCTATTTTTACAATGTTTGCTTCTTTTCTAGTAAAATCAAAGCTGTCATTGATTCTGAAAGCAAGCTGATTAACTTTGTATATTTTTTGTTCCCAGTACAGCAATAAAATACTTTCCATATTTTTATCTGTTTTATAATGTTGATTGCAGTAATTCTTATAACTGGTGTTGTCCATTTTAGTAATTAACGCGCAAATGCAATTGTTTTACCTTCATCCTACTTCTTAGCTCCACGGTGTTTTTGTGCTTTGGAATTTTGTAGAAGACAGTTCGATCTTGCCAACAGGGAAGCATTGGATGAATCTGCTGAGTGGAGGATGAAATATGATGAGGAGGTAGAGAGAGCTGCAAAGTGTGATAAGCAACTGGTAGAGGTGTGCTTACTTCTATTTCTCCTGATCTGTTTGTTATTCTAGGTGTCATTGCACACTTTAAGTTTTTAACTTTGCTTAGTTGGGAATATAAATTTTACTGTTATAAGGGGTCTGTCCTTTTTATCTTTGCGACTCTAATCAAATAATCCAAGTCCATAAGTCCTTTCGTACTGATACTCACCATCTTCCTGCCTTTGACTTTGGGAAGGAAAAGAAAAAAACAGAAACTTCCTATATGAATGAATCTTGTAAATGCATTTTGGAGCTAGTAATAAGTTAATTATGTCTTCTGATTATTGAATTTGCTTATAGTTGGAATCCTTTTGGTTCAGCGACTTTAACCAGACACATCTTCATCATTCTTGCCTTGAATTTAGTGAATTATTGATTTTTGAACTGTACCTTCCATTGGGTTTTCTGATGTCAAAAGGTCTATGTTTTAAGTTGGCAAGCGCCATGAGCATTGTTATGTCTTCTAGTTGCTACTTTTGCAATGCCCTGGATTTTCAAGTGGAAATCAAAGTTGATAATATTACGTATGAAGAATAAGGAGTCCAATGTGATTTGAACGGAAGTATGTTATATGGCAGTGCTAATATATACACAAAGCAATTAGAAACTTTATATGTATAGCGTCCACGAGATTGAAAGAGTTACCTTACATGAATATCAAATTATAAAAATGAAATCATGTAGTGAAACTGCTGTGAAAATGTTATTACATTGGTTGTTCTGGGCATTAATTTTGCTGCTCTTGGAAGGTCGTTTGTGTAACAGCTGTACATCTGGGTTTGAATACTATATTTGGGTGAACATAATACTCAACGGAGACATTGCATTTTTCTAACCACATGATTTAGCCAGAATAATTATTGAATTATTCTTGTATGGAGACATTGCATTTTTCTAACCAGATGATTTAGCCAAGCCAGAATAATTATTGAATTATTCTTGTGCTTTTTGCAAATATTGGAGCTTAACTTAAGAATAATTCTGAGGGAAATGTTCCATTATCTTTGGATGTTATTAATATTTCTGCTGGCAAATGGGCGGTTTTGACATTTCTATGTATGTGGTGTGCATGTGTAAGAGAAAATGTGCTTTCTGAACCATCATGTGGATAGGCACCTCAATTTTCAGCTCATGGAATAGTCAAAACTTGCACATTTCTGTTTCATATGATATCAATGATATCTTATAATGCTGGTGGGTTTGGAGCAATAATATTCATGTTGGGAACTTAGAAGCTTTTTTGTTGTTTGATACCATGTTTGCTTTTGGTTTTCAGTTTTTGTGTTGAAATGTCAGTGAACAAACTGTGAAAACTTATCTATTTGTATTGTCCCACTAAAAAATGAAAACCAGTAAACAGTGACCACAATTTTGGAAATCTGTAGAAATGGTTTTCAAATATTTTCACGAGTTTGTTTCTTTCCCTAATTTCACATATTATTAGCATAACTTATTATCTATTACCCTGTCCTCTTGATTACCATTACCACTGGTGAGTGCCGGTCAGTGATGATTTGCAATCACCAATTGACAATTGTTGGTTGCATGACCTCTGCCAATCACTTGTGATTAGCAGTCACTGTCAACCACCACCAATTAGTTGGCAATGAATTCTACTGATTGCAATTGACAGATAGCCATCTGTAAGGGATAGCTATTGGTACTGATGATTGCTTTTTTAGAAATAAATGTCGAAATGAAAACTAAAAAGGAAAAAAGAACAAAATATAGAGGTAAAATGGTAAAAGGACAAACTGGAGTTGATATTTCAAATGGGATTGTGATTTCCGTTTGTCAATTTCTCTTGAAAGTATATAGGACCTAAAATCTCAGCCTGTTGCATCTTACTAAATTTTTCTTGTATCTTGTGGCACAGATAAGGCAGAAAGTGGAGGATGCTGCCACCATTAACCAGCAATTGGTAATGCTACAAAAGGTGACTCTCCAACATCAAACATCTAGTTGCTTACTGTCGCAAGTTCTTTTGTTTCTTCCTTCTGATACTCATTTTTTCTGGTTGAGATCTATTTGATACATTTTCTGGAATTTTTCTTTCAACAATAAAGGAACTCTAGAATCAAGTAGCTTGGTCATGTTTTTTGCCAAACATAGTTTGTTTCTCAAATGAAAATTCATCATCATGTGAAACTGTGCTCATGCCTTTTGTCTACTACTGAAAACTTCCAGAATTGATAATGTTGCTTGAGTAGGATTTTAGCGTAACAAAAAAAAAAAACCACCTTTCCTATTTATAATCTTTTTCTGGAGTCTGGACCCTAATGATCAAGGAGGACCTGGAATTCTATTATTTTCGCTATTATTTGGAATCTATTTGCAGTTTGAATTTGTGTGTTTTTTTCTGACACTTTCTGACATTACCAGGAAAACATGGCCCTGGTTGGAAGGATGGAAGTCTTGAAAAACAAGCTGGAGGCTACCAAGTTAAAGTGTCGCAAAAAAATAGATCGGTGACTTGAACAGAATTCTAACTTGCCCTTACGTGTATCTAAGTGCCTATAATTTACTTGTTTACAGAAGATCTCAAATGCTGTGAGATTGCAGTTTCTGATGAGTCCAACAAAGGGAAATGGTTTTTGAATGCGATTCAGTCTCTTACCCATAGCTATGTACATAACATACAAGGTATCTGCTTTTAGTTAAGAGAATTTTGAATGAATGATAATGCTGTTGTACCGGTCATAATAAATTTCCTTGAATAAGGGAATTATTAGTTAAGAGAATTTTGAATGAATTATAATGCTGTTGTACCGGTCATAATAAATAATAAATTTCCTTGAATAAGGGAATTATGGATAGAAAATATAATTTAGAATTAAGTGGTTGGTTACATAGGAATAGTTTTATTTATATAAAATATATTTATTATTAATAAAGGTTTTTTATTTTTAATATTTAATTATATTATATTTGATTAATGAATCTAGAGTAAAAATAAAGTAAATGGAATAAAAATATTTTACATAGAAAATTATAAAGTTATAATTATGAGATTTTTATTGCATTAAAGTATCGTTTCTAAATATTCTTGATTAATATTTTATTAAGACTGGATATTAATCAGAGTTGTTGAAATTGATATATATTATGTTTATTTTTTTTATAAAAGAAAATAATTGCTTTCCTAAACTAAAGTATAAAGTATAAGAGATGCATGAAATTAATATTGAAACTAATATGTAGGTGTTTGTCAAATGATATATATACTGAACTGACTTGTAAAAGAATTCCATATAAAAAGATTATATATGTTTATAAAAAGATTCTTGTGATAGTTATGTAAGTGATTTTTAAATTTTAAGATCATCAAGTTATTTTATATAAATAGTGTTATTCAAGGATAATAAATAAATATATATTAGGTATAACATAAATTATATAAAAGTATTTGAATAATAATAAAAAAAATATCCATTATATAATGGCTATAAATATTGTAAAAAAGTAAGTGAAAATAATACAGAAGCTAATAACTTAGTTCAACAAGGTCAGGATACAAAATGATTTTCAATCATTATGGTATCATCCATGTGTCAATAATTAGATATTGCCGATACCCTACCTGGATGCAATGATGCATAAAATTGTACAGTCTCAATGGTAAAAAAATGCACTAAGTTGTAAAGACAAGATTAAATTGATTTTTATATAAGGGAGGCAACGAAAGACACGGTTGACAAGGAAACTAAAAGATTGGCTTCATATCTATATTGCTTGTATTTTAAGTGAAATAGTAATGCTATTGCTAATATATAACTTAAACTTTTTATTATTGATTCTAATAAAATAAAATAAATGAATTGTTTATTACGTACAAAAAATCAAGAAGTCTAGAAGTCCATGTTGCAAAAAGTTATTCAAGAAAAGCCTTTAGTTAAAATAGTTGATTGGTTGATATGTCAATGTTTTTGGGTAATAATGTTCATTAATAACATCATATATGGTTGAATGTTCAATCAATTTCAATATTAATTGACAAGGTATCTTCCATCATTTATTTAAGATATAAATAAATATAAGAAGCATTTTTTACATTAAAAAAAAACATCTACATGTCATCAAAATAAAAATAATGATTGGTTATAATAAAACAAGAGAATAAAGTTAGAATCAATCTAGTGTAATAATGGAATCAATCACGTTGGAATAGTCTTAATCAACTAAAAGATTTAAAGAAGCAAAAATCATGATTAATTAAAGAAATCAATCAGACATAGTAATTTGAGTGAATGCAAATAATCAGAAAATTCATTTATACTAAGAACATGAGTCCTCAATATATTAAACTCATCATAATTATAAATTAGTTAGGCTTCATATGGTTATTAAACTTGTATATAAGGATTATTATATAATTGCTTCACTGATATAATTTATAGTATTAAAATTGAATGTTTACATGAAAATGAAGCACTTTACCATTATAAATAGACCATCTAGTTATAGTTAAAGATGTCTAACTCTATATACACAATTTTTATACAAATTTATCTTCTTTTTTAGTTTTTCATGCTTTCTTTTCCATTTTCATTATTTTTCAATATTTTTGAATTCTTATAATTCATCTTCCTCTATTTTTTTCTCTTCATGTTCTTTTTCTTGTGTGGTATTAATTGAGATAAATTACCTTTTCTAAATGTTTAAAATCTTAGTAGTTTATATTTCACTTGAATTTGCAAGGTTGCTAATTGCTTTATTTCATAATTAAGATCTTATTATATTGTTTCTCCTCCTTAAAAGATTAAAAAAATTAATTGATAGCATAACCAATTAGAGGATTATTTGATATATTAAAATATTAGTATGCCTACTAGGACAATTATACCTTTTCAAAATGATTTATAAAAATAAAGGATATTCATACTAATTTTTCTAATGTAACAACTATAGTGAATACTTATGAATTAGAAGCATTTCTTGATTAAAAAATAATTATAGTAAATTAGGAATAATCGATTATAATAGAGGATAGAGTTGGTCACTAATATTATTATATGTATGAGGTTAATTGATAGTGATAAAATTGATGAATTAGCATAAAAGATATAAATAAATATTATTCTATAGAGTATATACGTGCTTGAAATAAAAAATTAATTGACTAACAATCACCAGCATTTCTTAAGAACTTGAAAGAAAGCATTAATAAGGTCGGTTAACCATAACCTAGTTTAGAATAATGCAATGACTAAACACACAAGTGACGATGAATAAAAAAATATCTTAATGTAATAACACGTAGTGAGCACAAACTTTAAAAAAAGTTTTTATATTTTATTTTTTTATTGAGAGGAAATAATACATAGGATAATGATTTAACTCCACATGAATTATAATAGAAGATGACATTGATCATCGTGACATCATCCCTGTGAGGATTCTCAATCAATTAGCTTTTATTAATATAAAATAGAGGTGAAATGATAAGCGAAATAGTACAAAATTCATGGTAATAAATCTCATGATAGTCGTTTTTCGCAACAATATTACAACATTTTATTCAATTAGTTGGTATGGTTTCTAAGAACAATGTCAGGCTAAATTGAGATGAATATATTCTATATATTGATATTTATATAATCTTATTGAAGAAGAAATTTCTTATTAAAGGGGATTTTTTTTTCATAATACTTGAAACAAATAAAATGTATTATTCTTAAGCAATTTATTCTTGAAGGATTGAGGATTATTCGGAGAAGATGATAAAATATAAATTAATTAAATAATTAATACAAGAATAACAACCTAACATTAAAGCTAGCATAATTCCAAATATCATGTTCAAAACCACGCTTCATTTAAAATAAATTAATTCGTTGACATGTTCAATATTTAAAAGTATGGTCATCATTTTTGTAAAAGATTGATCATTAGTCTAAGCGACCAGAGAAAATGATTGCTTAATCGACAAGAAGTGATGATTAATCAATTGTTTATGAGTTATGATCATCTAAAAAAAACGATCAACCACAAAAATAAATGTCTACGTAGTCAACTAAAAGGTTCAATCTTATTTAAAAATGAAAGTCCTCAATTTATTAAAACTTATTAGTGTTGTAGATTAGTTAGAATTTACATGATTATTAATATAAAGATGCATAGCAGTTTGGATTATATTAAGATTTAATTTATAAATTCTTTATCTAATAAAAACAATTTGTATAGAATTAGAATTAGATATTTATGCGAAACTCAAACTTTAATATTATATCATTATAAATATGTCATCCAAGAGAAAAATAGCCAGCTTCACATATGCAATTTCAGTTCTTTAATTTATCTTTATTTACTTGCTTTTCTTTACAACTTTATTTACAGCTTTCATTATTTTTCCAATACCTTTGAATTGCTGCAATTCTCCCTTTTCTCTTCCTATTCTTTTTCTTATGTGGTATTAATCGGGACATGAACTCTTGATATTCCATCTTCGTTGCTGGTTATCTTCTCTCTGATATTAGGTTCCTATTGTGTAGTTTTTCCTCCTTGAAAGGTTGAAACAACTAATTGATAGAACAACTGATCAGAAAATTATTTGACAGATCAGAAGAAGTACTCCATGCTTTTCTTGGAGAAAGATATGGCAGAAGAAGAAAAATGCTTCCATTTCTGCTGTTCTTTTTCCTTTTCTTTTTCATTTGATGAAGATTTTCTGTTCTTCGTTCGTTTTCATTTGATGAAGATTTTCTGTTCTTTTCCTCCTCTATTCTCCATGAAACAGAACTTTTCGATGAGAGAAGGCACAATTCTACAGAAAAAAAGGGCAAGGAAAGCTGTTGATTAATGAGGTGTCCTGATCAGTTGTGTTTATAAATCATCCTTCTGCAAACACCTTTTTCATATTGTCATATTTATACTTTGGTCATCCTTCTGCAAACAACTTTTTCATATTGTCATATTTATACTTTGTTTTATTTAGAGGACTGAAGATACAAAGAAATTAAAAGGAACTTTCTTATACCGAACAATTCCCTTTGAAAAGTTTGTAGAAAGAAATTCTCTTTTTCTCTCTTAAAACTTGAACATAGTTACATATAGACATGCTAACGTAGGCATATAGCACTGTCATTCATTTCCATTATCCCCGTCACTTCCCGTCAGGCAATCTAGTAGAAACTATCTGTATGGCATCTTTTCCTAGACTGTTGAAAACAACATGAGTTATTCCTAACAGAAACGAAACTATTCTGGATGATCTCTTTCTCTTGTACTTGTAGAGCTATCAGTATCTGTTGAAGGGTTAGCCCGCATTTCGTTGAGAAATTTTGTTATAGTCTGCACAAAGACTTCATTGTCGTCAGGTTGAGTACTTGAGGATGCTGGACAAGTACTGATGCCAATGCTGCTACTCCTAGAACTCTATGAAAGCAATACAACTATATATACTGTGAAGCTATAATTAGCTAGCCAAGAATTACGTTTGAATGCAAGCTATTGTCTCATTTGATCTTGGCCAGTCTTTCATATCAGCCTATTTTTCTTAGAAGAGAAATGTCGGCTACTCAGCATTAACAATGGAGACTGAGACATCGGTTCCATTCTTACTATTTTTGTGCTTGACATGCAAGAGCATGTACATAAGATGCGCGTATCAGAACTATGGAGATCTGAGATTAGAGTATTAGACAATCATATCAGCTACTGATCATTCATATGCTCCTTTACTTCATAAGATTAACATGAAGAGAAGAAGCCCAAT